CTCTCTTATTAAGGTACATTTTTACCCTTTCCATAATTCAGTTTGTACCCTACTTTTATTAATCTGTCTTTCAAGTAGGCGTGGCGCTTTTCGTTTTCAGCCCATTTGTCTGAATAGTTGTGTATCCATACAAACACACACACAATGTTTGTGTTTAATCATTTTCTCTAACTAGGAGAACTATGAACACATATAAATCTTGTTCCTTTGGAAAAACCCATCGTTTGTTTGTTTTTTGAAGTTAAGCACAAAGCTACACAATGGGCTATCTGTGCTCTGCCCACCACGGGTATCGAAACCCGGATTCTAGCGTTGTAAGTCCGCAGACATACCGCTGAGCTACTGGGGGGCAAAAACCCATCGTGAGGTATTTTAAGCTAACTGATATTTCTAAGATAACTTTTAACGTAAATTCCATAGCGACGAAAGGGCACTTCACTTGAATAAGTTTAAATAATCCAATAAAAATCCTCTTCTGCGAGATTTCTTCATCTGTACTGGTAATTTAAATAGTTGGAAGTCAGAAGTAATTATAAAACACACACACACACATTATCTCATTGATTTAAAGAAATATAATGTAAAGGAACTTCACTTATTCTATCTATTTTTTTACCCCGTCTGCCAAAATTGTAACTAATGTTGGTCGAATAATGCTACTTCATTATTTTGTTACATTAAACTTTAATGTTTGGTGAGCAGAATTTTGATAATGTTACAAAATGTTGACTGTTTTCTCAAAAATACTTTTTATGTTGATACAATAGTTACTTCAATCTTGGCACGCCCGAACCCCCAGCTGGTGTCTGTTTCCAGATCCGCAGCTTCGTCCAGTGGCCAGCAGGTGGCAGTTTTCAATAAATCAGACGCGACGGGTCGATCCAATCAGTATCTTAACTTTTAAGTATACCTCTTTAGTAGTAGGAAAGGTAGAACACTCTGCAGTCATGCGTACAAGCTCGAACCCACACGTGTTAATATCGCATACCTAAGCTGTGTCATGTTTATAAATCAGCGTTTTCTATCGTCCCATTACTGTGGATAAACACGACCCCCCGCACGGCTTCGACCCTCGTTTGCTAGGACAGGCATTCTTATAAATCAAACGAGTTTAAAAGACGATATATGGCTGTCTACCTTGGAACAATGAGGCTTCAGACAATTAAACCGACCCAAAACCTTTTCTCTTGCCGTTGGCGTTCTGAAGAAAGGGTTGCAAGTGTGACAACACATGGGAACATCCAGAGGTGTTTCCAATTTTTCTGTTAGTTAATTACACGATTCTATAGATAGAAAACCGTTCTTGCCCAAGAAGGTATCTATTAATCTTTACACTTCCTGAGGTAAAAGAACACTTGTGACTGTCGTTACTCACAAATTATGTACGTTCTTCATAATTTTTACTTCTCACCACTGTTGTCAGTACTTCTCACTCGTATCTGAATATTACGTCCTGACGATATCAGCTACACTTGGGAAATCTCTAATATTACCATAACAGAAAAGCAAAAATTACAGAATTAGGCTCATTATTTATTACTATAAATCTTTTTATTTGTTTTAACATCAAATTGTTAAAAAAAAGGACGAATACATGTTATAGGACCAAAAGTAATTTATATGCGGAGCTCACGTGGTTAATCTCGTGCCTCTGTTTGTGTATGAGCAAGCTCTATTTTACTGTCAGCAAGGTTATATTGGGTACACTAAAAGCAGATTGTTATTTCATGTGAAGGATCATGCAAGTATCTACGACTAGATCAAGTGTACTCGATAAGTGTGACGTAGTCATCCATTCAAATTATTTTAAGGTATTAGCAAGGCCTAATGATGAACAGAGCCACCGTATAAAAGAGAGCTTGTTCAAACGAAAACTTAGGTCTGAGATCAACCAAGTGAGCTCCGAAAATAAATTACCAAATTGTTTATGATTTATTTATTTTACTCGTCATTCAGGATAGGTGGCGAACCAGCAAGCCACATCCAGGAGCGATCAAGTGACCATAGCTTCAATATTTAAGATGTTAAAATTGGTTTATATGGACTTCAATCTTTTTTTATTTAAAAGTGGACCACATGTTTTTATTAGTCGATTCTACAGCTGCTACTATCAGAAGCAACAACTTTGAAAATTACCTTTAGCCAGCTGCTTCATAAAACGTCTAAAACGATGCAGCTTTTAACACAGATTGTTTATGAATAGTGAAGAACGTAGTTTAACATAGATTGTTTGTGAAGAGTGAAGAACGTAGTTTTACATAGATTGTTTGTGAATAGTGAAGAACGTAGTTTAACATAGATTGTTTGTGAAGAGTGAAGAACGTAGTTTAACACAGATTGTTTGTGAATAGTGAAGAACGTAGTTTAACACAAATTGTTTGTGAATAGTGAAGAACGTAGTTTAACACAGATTGTTTGTGAAGAGTGAAGAACGTAGTTTAACACAGATTGTTTGTGAAGAGTGAAGAACGTAGTTTTACATGTTGCATAAATGGAAATGTTTAGTTGTATAAAAAGTTTGAAAACCCCAACAGCTGTAAGCTTAGAAACCAATCACATTTAACTTTCTGCCCGTTTTTAAGTTTGATGTACTTTCTTTAAGCGAAGGAAGCAGTAAAATTATATTAAGCAATCCTAAAGTAACTACCTATTAAAAAACACATTTTATCTATAACATTTACAGAATATTCGTAACAACCGTCAAGTGGAAACTTTAAGCTTCTCTGTTCTTGATGGAGCGTTTCCTTGAAGCATTCTAAGGCTCCATGTATCTTGGAGTCTAAATAGAAAATCTAAAGCATTACCTTCAGGTCTTAGAATCCTGTGAAACAGCTGTTTAGTGTCCTGAATGTAAACATTTTACCACCGTTTGTATTTGAAATGAGCTAGACGTGTTTAATATTTATTTTCGTTGTTAGTTTAACACTGCTTTATATATATATATATAACAAAATAATACTATGCTTCATTTTGTTTGCTGATGTTTTTTTTTCTTGCTTCAAACTCGTGCGTATTTTAACTTATTAGTACATTAGAAAGATTTGCATAAAACATCAATTCATACAAGATGTACAAATTCGTTCATCTCCTGAAATTTTCATTGAAATCACTTGGCTACTTCGTTCGTCTTCTGATAACTTCGGTGAAATCACATGCCCACTTCGTTCTTCTTCTGATAACTTCGGTGAAATCACGTGCCCACTTCGTTCTTCTTCTGATAACTTCGGTGAAATCACGTGCCTACTTCGTTCTTCTTCTGATAACTTCGGTAAAATTACGTGCCCACTTCGTTCGTCTTCTGATAACTTCGGTAAAATCACGTGCCCACTTCGTTCGTCTTCTGATAACTTCGGTGAAATCATGTGGCTACTCCGTTTGTTTTCTAGTAAATTCGATGACATTACATGACTTTACAACTATTTTTCTTATTATATATTAATGGAACGTCAGCTTTTAAATTAAACACTTAGAATATAAAAAAAACCTGTAATTTTATACTTTACTGATAATATGGCAGTGAAGACTGACAACTCTTGTTAGAAATGAATAAAAACCCTATAACCCGAGCGCTTTCGAAATATGGTTATAGGGTTTTTGTTCATTTCTATCAGGATTTCTTGAACCTACGTATTTTTCTAACATCATCAACTCTTGTTAGAACATATCCTTCCTTCTCTACTTACTTTTGACCCATGTCAAAAAGGGTTGCCTTTACATCGTTCTATGGATAGTTGTGACGTTTTTCACAGACACTTTTTAAAGTACTCATGGGTCTAAATAACGTGATGGATTTTTCAACATAATAGTTTCTATAGAATGGATCACAGATCCCTAAATATTTAATGAATTTGAAATTAGAATGTAAATGATATAATTTTTGATGTTTTAAAAAATAATCTCGACATAAACGAATTTGGTCAGATTCAACCTCTTCCATTGTATTTTTATATACATACCTCCATTCAGCTTTTCCATTTCCATTTATTCTTGGCAGTAATCTTGATTTTTGATATTTCGGACCACAAAGAGGCGAGAAACAGAATCAGGGGCGTTCAGAAACTGGAGTTCAACTATTCCTAGCACCCTAACTTTCTTATATATATTGTCTTATTGAGCCAACAGAGTGTCCTCTTGCAGTGAACTGTTGCAATTGTCGATAACAGCACAATAAACTTGCTTATGTTATTACATGTGCTTATCTGGTGGTTTTCAATCTTGACACCAGGGTGTGTAAATTATGTTTTATTCTTTATCCACGAGTTGTTGTGTTTCCTCGAGGTTGTCTAATTACTGTCTAACGTCAGAAGAGGTGTGTGTATGTAGAAATTTACTTTTATGACCTACACACTGTGCTGGGTGGAGTTCTCTCTCGCACGTTCATCTGACGTCATATTTCCTCGCAACTACTTGAAAGACGGTTAGAGGTTGGGGTTGTCTATAATATATTAACTTTACACCAGTTAGGACATTATTCTTTACAGTTAGTGGTGCGCACAATTCACCATTTGCCTTAACCCTTCATTTAATAAGCACTAACATTGACAAGATCTCTGTTTTTTCTTCGGTCTCGGGGTAGGCCATGAACACGTAGATTTTTTTTCCCTGAGCCATCTCATAAATCATATTCTTTTGCTATAACAATCGGTGTGTCAATCATTTTAAAATTGATTTATTTGTTATACGTTCACGTTGCTATTAACAAATAACTTTTCGTTAAATTGTCTGCCTGTCATGTGATAATTGATATGATATGAATACAGTAAATTGATAAAAGCTAAGTCGTTTGAGAATTAAGTAGAAGGTATAGTTAAAGGTTTTCAATACATGTATAGTTAGCTAATGATGCCCAAGCTGCGTTTCGTTTGTTTGTTCTGAATTTCGCGCATAGCTACACGAGGGCTACCTGCGCTAGCCATTCCTAATTTAGCAGTGAAAGAAGAAAGACAGCTAGAAGGAAGACAGCTAGTCATCACCACCCACCGCCAAGTCTTGAGCTACTATTTTACCAACGAATAGAGGGATTGACCACAACATCATAACGCCCTCACTGCTGAAATGGCGAACATGTTTGGTGGGACGGGGATTCGAACCCGCGACCCTCAGATTGCGATCAAGCGCCTTATCCATCTGTCCATACCGAGATCGTTTGTTTGTCTGCCGTTATAAAGAAAGAACAGATACGTTCGAAGTAAACAAGCGTGATATCTAGATTGTCCTTGGCATGTTGCATATTTTTGAATGTGAAAACAAGTTGTAATTTTATTGAATTCCCTTTTTATTTTCCTGTACTTAACGTAGTGGCCTAGAGGTTTGGGTGTCGGGCTGCTGATCGAAGGATCATTCTGAGCATGGAGTGGCCTAGAGGTTTGGGTATCGAACTGCGTATCGAAGGATTGTGTATTGATTGCTGGTAGGTGAATGTTTAAGTACAAACGATTGAAATGTCGTCTTATTGGCTGATCAGTATTGTTTTGGTGTGTGTGATGTGATACACATTTTTCTCGAGCTTCCTCTCCAAATCGATATCATGTCCTTCTAATGTATAGTTATTCCATTTACGACATATTAGTATGGACGTGGGATTTTGTTTTAAGAGGGTAGGATGCATCAGGAAGGGGAACCAAGTCGTAAGTAGGAGTGAACATCGCCGTCTTTGTAATGCACACTAATGTTTAGCCTGATATCCTGCAGAAAAGGAGTTGAAGGATTAAAAGAAGGATTTAGTGTAAGTGTACTAGAGTCCTGTATGTAAGTTTTAAATATCAAACTTAAACTTGTGACATCAAATGCTAAAACGAGTTAGTATTAATGTAACTCACTTATCCACGGCTGCGTGTGGCCAAGTGTTTAGTATGCCGAGATATGGATCGAAGGGTTCAAGGTTTGAGACGTAATCCAAAAGTTACAGACAATCCCATTATATTCAACAAGATGGACAAAGCTCATTTGGCTGTGAATACTGATGGTTAGCTGCGTCCCATCTGGCCAATAGTTCAAAATTAGGTAGAGGGCTTTGCTCTGGCAGTTTAGTCCATGGACGCATAAGGTTTAGGTTGATAATTTCTATTCCATAGCGTCCTGTTTGAGAAAAAAAAGAAAAAAGTAGAAGGACATCTCTAATGCAGAATACCAAAAAGCATAAAGGATTTATATATTTATCTAGAAGTTTAGAGTTTCATAATACTTCCTAATCTTCACAACATTCAAAAGATAAGAACACTTTATTGGGATGTCATTCTGCCTAATCGTGTCGACCAGAGTTCTTTTGACAGAAACTGCTTTAAATGTTACAAAAAATATATACCATATTCGAACCTTTTTGCACTCTTAATATTTCCATCATATTTCTGAAAAACAATTCGAACTGTTTTGGTTTTAGTTACTTTGCATGCTTTTGCAATCTGGAGATATATTATGGATGACATTTAAAATTGTATAATTTTAATTACTTCTGAAGTTTTGTTTTAAAGTACATTTCATATTCATACTATCTCACGTAGTCTTAACGAAAAAGTTGAGAATTGATTTGTTTTTACTTCTATTCGATTTTTTTCAACGAGAATAAAATCCTGAAAAAAATTTAATGCTTTTATTTTTGACAATTTTTCATGTTTGTGACGCATGAAGGAATCTTCCAGAAGACATTAAAAATTTGATCAATTATGTTTCATATTTGCGCCTTCTGTAGAAATAGTCTGGAAACTTTTGAAATAGTTTTGTAATTTTTACAGATATTGTTTCGAATAAATGTTGTTATTTTATAACACAAAGCCACATAATGCGCTTTTTTGTACTCTGTCTACTGTAGGGATTCGAATCTTGCATTTTAGTTCGTAAAATTACCGCTGACCCATAGGGGGGATATTTTGTAAAAAGTTAAATATTTTGTGCTGTTTCATTTTCCCTGCTAGCCATAAACGGAATAATCTTAAACATTAGCCTTTTAAAATTCATATGTATATAGTGATTGTCACCACTAATCTATGTATAGTGATCGTCACCATTAACCTATACATAGTGATCACCATTAATTTGTATTTAGTGATCATTATCACTAATTTGTATTTAGTGATCATCACCACTAATCTGTACATAGTGATCGTCACCACTAATCTGTACATAGTGATCACCATTAATTTGTATATAGTAATCGTTATCACTAATCTGAATTTTGTGATCGTCACCACTAATCTATATTTACTGATCATCACTAATTGAATAATATATTTAACATTTTGAAACGAAAGTAGCAGTACAATTAAAATTTTATCGATGATTTATGAACTTTCATTTAACTATATACATTTGTAAAGATGTGTAAAGAGAAAAAATAAATAAATAAAACTGTTGTTTCCAACAAAAATAAATTATCATAAAAAAAATACCCTGGTGTTCGATGTAAAGATCATCAAACGCTGTTTGTTCAAGTCAATATGATGTACTGTTATTCAACGTTTCTAGGTGTGTTGGTAATTTGAACTTACACATAACATAAAAACGACCTCAAGATAAGTTCCCAAATATAAGAGCTTGAAATTCCTTATTCAAAAATATGTTTTATTTTCTCTTATTGATACTACAAGGAAACTAAAATAAAAACCGCTACTTTTTAAATCAAATATACAGAATAAAATTACCAATGGTTGACCTGCATTTAAAAAATCAATTTAATCTGATATTTTTGAGAAAGAGGAAGGTTTAAACAATATATTCTAAAAAAAATGTCTATCACATCTTTAGTGAAACGTGATATGCAACACGTCATAGGCCCAACTATTTGTATCATGTTTCCTCGTGTAAGTGTATGATCAGTATAATAACTCATTTTTAAAATACTAACTGCAATTATTAACGACGTTTCTTATCCTCAGATATACATCGTAAAGAAATGACTAACTTTACAGTAGGCCTATCAGTCAAGTAAATACTATCATTTCGTTATCGACTCTTTCACTGCTTAGTGAAAATAATAGTTATTGTTACATGAAGCATTATGTTAGTGACTTACACACTTACGTTTATCTTTTCAACGTATTTTAAATTAGGCTAAGGCTTAGATGTATAATAATAATATGACCCTCTTTCTATATAATTATTCATATATAAAATCTTGTAACATTGTGAATAAGATGGAATCACATTACGGATTCGTCAAGTCTAGTATCGAACTGATGTTTAACTGGATAACCTCGGTTTTGTTTTGTATATAAAATCGTTAGCTTGTTTCCATTTGTACTATATTTATAAAAACCCTGTTTGTGTAATTTTATGAAAGAGGACAACTGTAAATCTGGAACAATGACACAAAAGTAAAAAAAGTTTCATAACAAATGTTCTAAATGTTGCCTGCTGCTCATGCGCAACGGTGAGCCTCTAAGTACCGTAAAGCGGGATAGTTAGGGACAAAATCTACATCATCTTAATATACTATTAATTTGAAATAACCCAATGGTTTAGATTATCACGCTGCTTTATTATATCAACTTTAATGTTTAAGCTTGTGAAGCACAAACCTACTTTTATAAATTATATTTATAATTTCACACCCGTTTACCTTCTTCTCAAACCTTTAGGGTCCAGTAGATGTTTTCCGTTCGTTATTGATAAACTAGTATTAACTTCTCGTCAAACCAACTACCTACACAAATCAGAACTAAAAATATATCCCTAATTATGAGGACAGTTAATTAAATGTGATATTCAAAATATATTACTTATAAGCTGAATTATTATCATATGAAGAGAAATAATGAGTAATTTTTCATCCTAGAATTATGTCTAAATAAATGTTTTATGAGGATGTTTTCTAAAAATTAATTATAATCTAGTATCAATAAATGTATGGAGAATGACTATCCTACTTCTAGTATTTCACGAAAACAACATTTTTCATATATATTTGGTCATCTCCTTTAAGTATTGCTTGATTAGCATTTTGAATTCTGTGGGTATATTAAATATTCTAACCAGTGCTGTGTGGCAACACTGAGATAAAAGTTTCACTTGTTTAGGCCGATGCCTAAGTAAGAACTACCACACTATGGTAAAAGTTATAGTTAGTGCAGCCAGCTTAGAAGATTGTGGTGAAATAGTCTTAATAATAATAATAATACAGAGAATTGAGAGCCAGGGCAATGTTGCCATTTGGAAAAATCTTTCACTGACCACCTCATTTTACGGTACAATATTTTTCACGTAACGCAAACAGCGACTTGCAAGAGAAGAAAATTTTAAACCGTTTTTCCAGATTACAGGTCCATAGATTGTAGGTGGCCA